TGGTATAATGATGGTATATAACGATGGTATAATGATGGTATAATGGTATATGAAAGAACAATGGTATAATGTAATGATGGTATAATGATGGTATATAACGATGGTATAATGATGGTATAATGGTATATGAAAGAACAATGGTATAATGTAATGATGGTATAATGATGGTATATAACGATGGTATAATGATGGTATAATGGTATATGAAAGAACAATGGTATAATGTAATGATGGTATAATGATGGTATATTAGATGGTATAATGATGGTATAATGGTATATGAAAGAACAATGGTATAATGTAATGATGGTATAATGATGGTATATTAGATGGTATAGTGATGGTATAATGGTATATGAAAGAACAATGGTATAATGTAATGATGGTATAATGATGGTATATTAGATGGTATAATGATGGTATAATGGTATATGAAAGAACAATGGTATAATGTAATGATGGTATAATGATGGTATATTAGATGGTATAATGATGGTATAATGGTATATGAAAGAACAATGGTATCATGTAATGATGGTATAATGATGGTATATTAGATGGTATAATGATGGTATATTAGATGGTATAATGATGGTATAATGGTATATGAAAGAACAATGGTATAATGTAATGATGGTATAATGATGGTATATTAGATGGTATAATGATGGTATAATGGTATATGAAAGAACAATGGTATAATGTAATGATGGTATAATGATGGTATATTAGATGGTAAAATGGTATATGAAAGAACAATGGTATAATGTAATGATGGTATAATGATGGTATATTAGATGGTATAATGATGGTATAATGGTATATGAAAGAACAATGGTATAATGTAATGATGGTATAATGATGGTATATTAGATGGTATAATGATGGTATAATGGTATATGAAAGAACAATGGTATAATGTAATGATGGTATAATGATGGTATATTAGATGGTATAATGATGGTATATTAGATGGTATAATGATGGTATAATGGTATATGAAAGAACAATGGTATAATGATGGTATATTAGATGGTATAATGATGGTATAATGGTATATGAAAGAACAATGGTATAATGATGGTATATTAGATGGTATAATGATGGTATAATGGTATATGAAAGAACAATGGTATAATGATGGTATAATGATGCATCATTATATTAGAATGTTGATTGTTGATTTTGTTGATTTGACTTTAAATCCTAGGTACGAGGTTGAATGTGGATCGGTGGAGTCGTGGGTGAAGGGTGGGGTGAAGGGTGGTAGGCCCAAGACAAAACCCCACTCTTGGAAGTCCTTTATTTAGTCGACATGTTCAAGCTGGCTGTGGTTTATGATAATTCTGATCATTCGTCATTGTTATTGGTGTAGTTACTATTATTTTGAATCATTACTTATCCCATACTATTATTATAACTTACTATATGGTCATTACTATTGTTATTGGTGGTATGTTACTACTATTGGTATGGGATAATTACTATTACTTTTTTTCCCATACCGCCGCCGCGCCACCACCAGCAGCAGCAACAACAGCATCAGCATCAGCATCAGCATAATAATAATGATCATCATCGTTATTGGTTCATGATCAGACTTGATAAAAAGACCTACGGTTTACATCACCTAAATCCAACCCTCGAAGTCCGAAAATTGGGATACCAAGTACGAAATTTACGACGAAATGTTGACCTTTGTGGCTTCCATGTTGAATTTAGGAGGTCTTTGCTTTGGGGTTTACCTCAACAAACACGGCAATTGCTTCAGCTTCTGGAGGCGTTCGACTGAAGGACAGCGGCCGCTATTTGGACTGCGCTCGTGCTTTGCCAAAGGGGTGCTAGGCCGTAGGCCGCAGGCATAGCTGAGATCAACCTTCTTCGGGGGCCCGCAATCACCCAAGTTTGGCATTCATATCATGGTTGGAAAACCATTGAAAACACAATGGGATGTTATAATATATTATAAACCAGTATAAACCCATGGTTGGCATGTGTTGAAAAGGCTGAACAACCATTGAAAAATCATCCCCAAGAGGAACCAGAAATGCCGAAAAAATTCGACCATCCCAAGGTGAAGCTTCGCGGCAGAGGGCTGACTGAGTAACCCCTTTTTCGATTGAACAATGACGAACACTCAAAGGTTGATTTGTATGATCATTCCGCCAGGATTTTTTGTGGGGCATTTTTGCTGCGGAAGCTAGACATGCTGAAGTGGATGAAATGGCAGTGTTGGTAGTCGATCTCCGATTTCTTTGGCCACATCCTGCATGTTTGACGCTGTTACCAACACTGTCCAAAAAGCCCAGTGAAGGTATTGGCAGTTGTGGTCCCGTATTCTTCCACTACGCCACTGGGGTTGATTTGGAATTCACCTTGCGAGCGGCAGACGTGGTGGAGAAGCAGGCTGCGGGACGTGTCAAGTGATTTTTTGGGGCCATTTTTCTTAGAGGCCCAGTTTAGGTGACCACACGTGGACTTGTGATTTACCCTCTGGTAATTTAACAGTTTGCTATTGAAAATGGTGATTTATAGTGAGTTTTCCCATTAAAAATGGTGATTTTCCATAGTTTTTTGTAAAAGTTTACCAGAGGGTAGGAACCATCCTGCATTGATGATCTGAACCATCTCCATATGTTTCATCTGGGATTTGAGCCCACCTGGACAGTAGTTGTGATGGCAAAGTCCACCGTTGTGTTTTCTCCCAGTGCTTTCTCCCAGCTCTGAAAGTAGGCATCCATCCATTGTTCCCCACATGGGTCAAGCTGCTTAAGCTGATCCGCCGCGCCCGGAGGACTTCGAGACCAAACAGCCCATTACGCATGCCTTGCACTTTCCCATGGATGCAGTGCCTGCGCTTGGCGCAGCGACCATGGTGACAGGAAAATGAGGGAGTGACTTTTTATGGCCAAGGAACAAAATGATGCATAACAGTGGTTTCACTTAATAAAAACAAACCATAAATAACAAACCATTGAGTCATTGAACAAAATAACAAACCATGACTCACATTTTTTGAGGTCAAACAGTGGTTTCACTTAATGGCTGATGTATTCCCTGTTGACGTCTGGAGCGTCAACATTCTTCGTCCAAGTTGGTGGATGGAGCGATGGAATTTTCCCCAAATCCAGAGTTGTCTTTCGCTCTATCCATGTGGGTACCCAGAAAACTGTGTTTAATTGCATATATATATATTTATACACATCCATACATACATACTTGCAAATACCAGCCCACGCTACCATAAGCATGTATAATGTATATACTGTAGTACACAAACACACACACACACATTATATATATATAATACATACATGATGTGCTATTGGATACCGCAACCAAACATCCACATCCAACATGATATGTCCGACTGGGTCTACCCACCGAGACGACGGTGGGCACGGAGATCGAGAAGTTGGTGGAGCGCCTGGGGATTCTGCCCGCCTTGGATCTGACGCGCCTGCGGCTGGTGGTCTACGAAATGGTGCTGCACCGCCAGTGGATTTCGCCCAACATCCGGCTCTTTGCCGGTGGCACCTGGGCGGTTGACGATAAAAAAGAGGCCCCCATTTTTTCGGGTGAAACCAAGACTTGGGGGACAAGATGGGGTCTAATTTGATACTAAAGATGTGGGGATGAGGAGAAACCGAGACGGGTCTTGGAGACAATTTGAAGACCAAACCAGTCTTATCATCCAAATTGAGTGTTTGAGAGAATGAATCCCCCAAACCACAAACTCGATGATTCCCGCTGTAATCCCAATTCCAGATACCCTCGTAAATTATGGTAATAATAATAGTAATCATATTGTTGGGCTTTGTTGATGAAGGTCCAGCCCACAAAAAGCTCTGTGGCCGCGAGGGTCCTTTGTCCAAGATCCGCATGCAGCTGGCGTAGCTTGCTGGCTCCAAGCCATCTGAGCCGATTTTCATCTTCCGTGGCTCAAATACCAAGCAGCCGAGATATGGCAGATATGGAATGGATTGCAAACACTTCCATGTTTTTTTTTCCAAAGATAGGGTCGTCCCAGACTGGTCAGACTTTATGATTCATTTTTGCCATGTGAATCTCGCGGACTCGACCAGAGATCAAATGATCTTTCTGAATCGTGTTGAGAATCAAATATCATCAAATATCTATTTCAAAATCCCCCTTGGAATTCCAACAGGAGTCCATGTTAGCAGGGGAATTCCAACAGGGATATTTCAAATAAATATTTGATGGTAATTGATGAATCTATTTCTTGGGTTCAACCAAATTTGACCGGTACGCTTTTTTTTCTTGATGATCCACATGAAAACACCTGTTGATCAATTCCCAATCCCATTCTTTCCTGCGGAAGTTCGATACCCAAGCGATTGGAAAATCAGCTCTTCATAGCATCCCTATCCACGCATTGAAAAACACCCTGCAAAATCCTCCTAAACTTGCCGTGAACCCATTGCCGAACCTCCCTTGTATCCCATCACCAGATTTTTTTTTCTCCGCCAGATCATACTGAAACAAATCCCAGCCAAATCACATTCTTGGCTACATGGGACCCATGAAAAACAAAATGATATCCCCATAAAATGCTGGGTTTCATACTCCTCTAACTTCGAAAGTCAACCCATCCCCATCCGAGTTTTATCAACCATCTCAAAACTCAACTTTAGTGGCATCCGTTTTTTCTCGGTTTCTCATGGTTCCTCCCCTTCATTTTCTTCATCCCATCGAGGCATGTACGACTTCATGCAGGACCAGGGCGGCATCGGCGCGTGTTTCAAGGTGCCCATCGAGCTGCGTCAGAAGCTCTTCGAGGGCATCCCAGCGCCCAGGAGGAAGATGGACGTGTGCCTTGGGCAACACCGACACCGGGAATTTCTGGGGATGTAATGGGTTAAAAGGGATATCACGGGAAAGAACTATGTATATATACATAATATATATACATTTATTTGTATATACTGTATACTGTATATATATATATACATATGTATGTATGTTTATATGTATGTGTGTATATATATATATGTATATTCTGTATGAGAGGTCTTGCCAAGAAGATTTAAGGCAGGTTCAGCAGAAGAGGATCCAGAGAGCCAAGTTAAGCCTTGCAGATGTCCTGCTCCTGGTTGATCTATGTCTTGATCCAAGATTTGTGGCTCAGAGAGGTGCTTAAAGGTGGGGTTAGCTTGCATCCCGTGCTAAGCTTTGCGCACCAGATGGAGAATCTCGCTCTTGGATATATCTGCTGCGAAAAAATGCAGGCATTGGTTTTGCCGTGAACTACTTGCCTGTCAAGAGCTGTGACATTGGTGATGGAATCTTCTTCTCCGCAGCGATGTCTGTGGGTATCCTGCTTGTGGGCTTGGCCACTGGGATGTTCTTCACTTCGGCCCCAGGGCAAAAAATGGTGAAGTGAGAGTGGTCGGGCAAAATTGGTCTATGATAGACCAATTTTGCCCGACCATACTATGGTGAAATGTTGTCCCCAGGTTTCGAGATTCCTGCCTGGAGGAGCCCTTGGCCTTGGCTGCAGCTGGAGGAGCCATGTGGATGTTGGGAAATTTGATGTGCCCATACATCATCAAATTGATTGGCCTGGGCTTAGGCCTGACCGCTTAGGATCTGAGCAATGTACCAGGTGTGCTTCTCATCGCATTGTCGACTTTGTAGAAATTCGATGCATGCTTTCTGCTGGGACCGCCCAGAGGGACACCATTGACTCAGTAAGTCTGGATGGCCCGCTTCCAAGAATAATGTCTCAAGCACCATGGCTGCGTCTCTACGTAGTATACTTAAATGCGCATCTTGCGGACGTGCACAGCTGTAAAGCTTCTGGTGCCATAGACGTTGGCCTTTCTTGTGGAGCTTGGTGAGTTGGAGACCAACTATTGGACATTATTGGACTGCAATCACATCAGCTCGCCTAGCCAACAGCTGATGCTCAGACCCAAATGGCCATCTGTAAAGTATACAGAGTCGGGTTTGCACAGCTTGCTGCATAGTGGCATAGCGCCCGAGAATACCATGGCGATGCCGAAACATTTTTCATTCAGAGAACTGGTAATTTTTAGTACAGGGTCCTGAATGGATGCTCTTCACCATGGCCACATACCGTGACAACACCTATGCCTTTGCAGTGCTTTATTATCATTACCCTCTGGTAATTTAACGTAGCTATTGAAAATGGCCATTTATAGTGAGTTTTCCCATTAAAAATGATGATTTTCCATAGTTATGTTAGTTTACCAGAGGGTAGATCTGCATTATCATTGTATATCATTGTTCTCATTGTCATTCTGATTACTCTCATTCCCCTTCTGAAGCATGGTCACCATGACTTTTTGTGATTCTAAAACTTTAACTGGTTGGTGGTTTCAAACATTTTTATTTTTCATAATATATGGGATGTCATCCTTCCCATTGACTCATATGTTTCTATTTTTCAAGATGTTTAAAACCACTTTTTCTCACTTTTTCTCATCAATCCATAGGAATTTGGGCCATGGCCGCGTTGATCCAGGCACTACTACAGCCACTGCGCCCTGGACGCCACGATCCTGGCTTTGAAACATCTGCTGTGCCTGGAGGACGTACATCAGCCCTTGGAAGAGCTGCGGAAGGGGATGGAAGAGCTGGAGAAAGGCGAGGCCAACGGGGCCCGGAAGGGGCCAGGGGCCAGGGGCCAGGGGCCTGGGAAGTGGTTAACATGGTGATAGCATATGGTGAGAAAAATCGTATGGTGATATCATATGGTGAATAGGGGCAGACATGTGGCGATCTATGGGAAATTCATGGAGGGTTCATGATAAATGGTGAAAATCCTGATGGTTTAAAGGATTGATGCACTAAAGAACATGATTTTGATGGTTTGATACATTTTGTACTACCTGGCTAAAGGTTCGATTTAGTTGCAGGGCATCTAAGATTGGCCGTTAGCCATTTGCTGGGGAGGGAGCGAATGGCAGGGTATCTCTGTTTCTAAGTGAACACGCACAGCAAACTAAGGGAAAAAACCTGAACGATGTTTTTGGCAAGCTGCTGGATTGTTGATGGAGTGCAACCTTGCCTGTTTCCAGTGGGTTAGTGTTTCTGGCCTGCTCAAAACACATGTCTCTGTCTTTATCCGCTTTCTAGTTCGTTTACAGAACCGTTTGATCGGTTGTCCCTGGTTTGGTTGGTGAATCTTCGCATGATAGCGATGCTTTGTGAAGGGATCCACCCAACATTCGTGCTTGATCACTACGATTCAGCCAGAGGAGTGTTGCTGACATTCCCCCAAATCCTTACATGAAGAACATAATATCAGACAACTCCAGAAATCATATCCCAGATTGTATCCCCAGGATTCCCCATGCATTACTACATGCCCCGACAGATCCGACATACATATATACGTATTACTTATATATATAATGTATACATTATATTTGTAATGAATGCGTTCTCATACCCCTCTATCTCATCTCATCTCATCCATCTCATCCCATCTCATCCCATGTAGTCTAGTTGTAATCTAATCGTTATCTAAATCTAAATCGATATTCAAATCCAAATCTAAGCTATCGTATTTTGTCTTGTTTATCTTATTTCTCTTATTTCTCTTATTTCTCTTATCTATCATAACTACCTAATCTACCTAATCTACCCAATCTATCCAATCTGTCCAATCTATCCTATCTGTCCTATCTATCCTATCTATCCAATCTATCCAATTTATCTAATCTATCCAATCTACCTAATCTATCCAATCTATCTACTGTATCTAATCTATCTAATCAAATCTAGTCTAGTTTAATCTAATCTAATCCAATCTAATCTTACTTTACTTAATCTAATCTCACCTTATCTAACCTTCCCCATTCTTAGTCTAAATCTATCCTCAATCAAAGCTCATCTACCTATCCATCGCCAGGCGCCCGCGAGGACCGCGCCGCCGATCTGCGGCACGCGCTGCGCACGGCCCCGCTGTCCACGCAGCCGGAGGAAGGCATGCTGCAGCGGGTGCGGCAGCTGGCGCGGTCGTCCGTTGACGCCTCGGACGCCGCTTGGTGGTTCCACCAATGGTGATTTAGCTATGGAAAATGGCCCATTTATAGATGGTTTACCTATTAAAAGTGGTGATTTTCTATAGCTATGTTAAATTACCAGAGGGTACCAGCAAAGATATCAATGGCCATAAAAAAAGAACCGATTGATTGGAGGTACCTACCAGACGCAAACTACCAGCAAAATATGGCCAAAAATGATGGTACGTTTACGTACCTCCATTTTAGGATCCTGAAATTCCCATTGAAAGATAGGAAGAACTTGGAAAATTAGGATGAAATGAACATGAAGAATGTTGATTGAAGCAGCAATTTCATGAAACTTTGAGAAGGATCTGAAAATGATGGGGTTGAAGAAATGATTGAAATGGGTCCGTGGCACCTTTTGGGACCCTTTTCAGAGAGATGGGATTTTAATGGATGTTTCTTCCCCCAATCATATTGTAATAAAATGGGGGTAACCCCAGTTATCATCATTTTTTTTTTGGATTTTCCAGTACCATCCAACTCCGGGGGTACCTCCAGGAGGTGCTGAGAATGGGGGATGATAGCCTGGGATTTTTAACCCGTCATTTCAGGGTGACATTTCTGGTGATAGAATGGTAGGATTTTTGTTTTGGATAGAACCAACAATATGAAGGACCCCAGTAAACTAACATTTGACAGCTATGGAAAACCAATGTTTCCCTGGGCAACAATCTATGAACTGCGGATTCTCTGTAATGGTGTTAGTTTTCTGGAGGGTACCAACTTCAGGCTATTCTTGTTGGGGAACCGAATTTCAACCAGGATACCTGAGGGTGTTCCATAAAAAATCAGGCGGATTTTGGGATGAAAATTGGTCTAGACATGGGGTTGAAATATGTGAATTTCGTCTAGAGATTTGGGGATATGGAGCTGGGAACCTATTGGGAACATGAGGATTTAAGCAAAGAATTGGGTAATTCACGAGCAACTTGTTTTTTTTTTTTAATGGGGATTCATGCAATAAATTGGTGAACCCGTTTCGGGATGTTTCGGGGTCTTAAGTGCAACATGGGGGTCCTCTTCAACTTTGGGGGTCTCAAACCAAGCATTTTCAATGGTGATTTGACCCCAGCGGGGTATTTTTCGCCAAGGAGTTCAGGGATGTCATGGAGTATAGGATGATATAGGATGCAAACAATATGATTTTTGTGGGGGATAGAATGGGGAGGTGATAGGCAGAATGGGGTGGAATACATGGAAAAGGATATACATTTGGGGAGTTGAGATGATAACGCGGGTAGTTTTGACACTCCAGGTTAATTTCAAATCATTTCACCAACATAGAAACTGATGAAACTGGATTTTTAGATTGAAAAAGAACATTTTCCCTAACAACCATGAGGATTTGCCAAGAAAAAGAGGTACCTCATCATGATGGCGTCATGTATGCTGAGTCCCAGCACCCAGGAGCCAAGTGGAGAAGAGCGCAACTCGCGCTACTCGCAGTTCGCTTTTTCGGACGAGGGATTTCACGACGATGCGGTCGTGGGGAGGCGTCGACTTTCCAGTGCTTTGGCAGGTGAATTGTTGGGTCCCAATGTATGTACAATGTTTGTTTTGTATAAGATTGTATCAGAAAAAATTAAATGATGAAAAAACACTAGGGGTCCATATTTTAACACATCCCCCATCGAATCACTTGAATCCTGGGAATTAATGACTAGGTAACTGATTCTTGGGGCTAAGACATTACTTCCATCCACTTGAGAGCTGTAGTAAGGAGCTGTTGTAAGGAATAACTTGGATGGCTGTCTCAAGCTGGGAAGACTTTGAAAAGGATCAAGACAGGAAATGATTTTGAGATTGAACTTAGAGGAATACAAGTAGATTTACAATGTAGATCTAGTTACCGCGGATATTTTGATGTCGCGAAACGCTGTATTTTTTCGTTTCAATGTCCCATGGGTCCCATCCCCGCGACCTGCGGGGCTCCGGCTGAGGTTACCACATGGATGAGACGGATGAAACCATGGAAACCACGGAGTCTCGTCATGCCGAGCGACCGTTGAGAAAAAAGGGAACTTCAAGTGATTGGATTTCACCCAGAAGGGCTAAACATCAAAGAGGCATCTGACACAAAAAAATCATCTGACATCGAGAAATTTTCGCTTACTTCATTGAGTTTCAGAATGGGTTTTCCATGGTTTGTTGGTTAAATCCTTGGTTTTTCTTGGGCGATTCACCACAGTTCAGGTCTCTTCATGCTTCACCAAGGAACTCGAAGCTTCCCGGCGCAACTCGCTCGTGACCTTCAAGGTTGGGGAACAACACCACGGCGCGGCGGGACATCGACGGCGGCAACGACTTTCGAGTGCTTTGCTAAAAATCGGTATTGAAACAGCACATGGGGGTTTTCTGGAATGGGGGTACCATAGCTGGATCGTTTATAATGGAAAATCCATGAACATCCTACAAACATCGATGATTTGGGGGTCTCCTATTCTAGGACACCTCCTTATGGATTTAATATGATTTACCAAAAGATGGATTTAATATGATTTAAATTGATTTAACGATTCAAATTTGGGATGTACATGGATTTACCAATGACATTTCGGGATGTCACAATCAACATTTCAAAATTTGAGAATCAAACATTGGGAATTTCATTCCAACATTGGGATATTTTCATGGATGCAATGGCACCCTGTTTTCAGACTAGGGCCCGAGCCAATTCTGGGCCAAGTGGCATGTAGAAACTGAGTCCTGGGGCCAAGATCCTGATGATGGTCTAAGTGAGCTGACACTGTTGATTTTTTCGCAGAAACGCAATCGCTTTCTTTATGCAGCGATTTGGCCACCCAACTTCTGGCGGGGACCCTAAACTGCTCGACACTTAGCGAAGCCTGAGGCCACGGCTTCGCTGAAGCGACAGATCCTCTGGATCGGTGATGGGAAGTGAGGGTAAGGTGTGCTGGCCATGGTCCGAGGTTTGATTCTTTTGGAAGTTCACAGATGCCCGTAGTTGCCAAGTATAGTATCATTACAGTATCATGTTTGTTGAATTGCTTGGTAACCTGCAGCAGGATTCAAAGATCGAATCCGAGTTGCCGAATGTTGGTGAAAACCCCTATAGTGATTGGCCGTGATGCCAGATATCTTGGGGTTGTATGGGCGAAGCCACCACACAAACCTGGAGGGAGCAGGGCCTTAAACCAACATCTTTGTGCTGTCCTCTCAGAAACAAAATCTCTGAACCTTGATACTTGGGTCATGTTGGGTTTGGGTATGTTTGGGCTTATGGATCCCTAAAGTGGCTGCGACCCAAATTGCCAAACAGGGAAACAACCCACTTTTTTTGGGTCGGCACCCTGATTTTGCCGAGGAACGTATCTCTCACAGATCGACCTCTGAGCCCCAAGAGGGTCAAGAAATCCTTGAAATCTGAGGAAAAAAACTGTGACTTGCAGGTGCCTGCTGGAACTGAATGAAAAATTGTGGAGTGGTGAAGATCCCTGTTCATTTTTAGCAATTCTCTTCATTTTGTTGTTTAAATATCTAAATTCAGAAGGGTACCGTGGTAAACTTACCCAAATGCAGGGTCTTCAGTGTTCCGACAGAAATTCAACATGGCTGTGCGACCTTTCCATCTATGTCAACGTCTACGAATAGAGGATAGTGGATTTACGGCTTTGTGGTGTCACTATAAATTGAAGATCCTGGTTTGCAAGCACTTAAGAATGATGGCTTTGAGCATTTGGAAGCGCCCCTGTTTGAAATAGCATCGTAGTGGGGAACACACACGGCCTGCCTGGCCAAGGTTGGTTTAGAGCCTGGGCAAGTTGCACCTTAGCAGCAGAGAATCTCCATGGAGATACAGCTTGAAATCGCCATGTTTTGTTGCTCGGTCAGTAGTTGTTAAGTTGTTGTGGACTATTCTCTGTTGGTTGATCAAATGTCAATTTCGTCCAGCAATCTTCATTCTTTAAGATATATATATATTATATTATATATATTATATTATATATTAAAAATATATATATATATATATATTATATGCCCACCATGAAAGATCATTTCCATTCATTTCCCTGAGATTTCCCCTGGTGATCCCTTGGCCAATTTGTCGGAGGATCGCCAGAAAAAAATCACCCATCCCCTTCCCAACATCTCCCCAAAAGATGGGCGAAGATTTCTTGGTGGCGCCATGTTTTCTTGGATTTTTCGAGGTCTTTAGGGAGGAGGCAAAAACGCCTATACTGCTTGGTGGTGACTGGAACCATGGAATTTTATGTTTCCATTCAGTTGGGAATGTCATCATCCCAACTGACTTTCACTCCATCATTTTTCAGAGTATTAGTATACCACCAACCAGATTATTATTAACCATCATTAACCATATATTAACCAGGGGTGTTAGTGCAAAGTCAATCCAAACGAACCAGCAGCTGGTGACACTCCCAGCTCGAGGAGCTCTTTTGCGGTTCCGCGCCGGAGGGCTGCACGAACTGCTGCAAGCCACTCGCACAGCACACTGTGTACAAGGCACGAGGTTTCCGATTGCATCATGCAAGTGATTGGCTATTTTTGCATGGGGTTTCTGCAGTTCCCCCAAAGTTTTTTTCATGACTTGGGCAAAAATAACCAGAGACTCACAAGAAATAGAGATGCGAATGGGAATCCAAGTCTTAGACCACGACATGAAATGCATGGCTTTGGGGCATTGCCCTTTTAGAAAAGAGGACATGCTTTTTATTCTCATTCCATGGACCTAAATTCTTTGAAACAAGAGGTGATGTTTTTGAGTCATATCCCCGATGGTTGCAGGGTTCCATGTCCAATCAGAGAGGGGGCCGTGCGTGGCCTTCAGGTGGAAGCTGAGTTGAATGAGCTTTGCCGAATTTTGCAGATGAAGGCTGGACGAGTCACTGGAGACCTAGACTCAACAAATAGAATGTACCTATACATAAATACAGTATATATATATATATGTATATATATATATATGTATATATATATACACATACACATACAGATACACATGTAATTATGTACAGTAATCCTATATGCAACTTGGCATTTTGGTACCCAAAATGTTGGTACTTTGAAATTTTGCAATCCGAATCCATGAGTCGTTCCGTGCTTGCCGAGCCCAACATCGGAACGAAACCCAGCCTGTGAAATTTCAAAGCCAAGCCATCGCATGTGACAAAGATCTGAATACTATAGATTCGCTATATATCATCATATGAATATACATACATACGTACATACCTACCTACCTACCTACATACCTACATACATACCTACCTACATACCTACCTACCTACCTACCTACATACATACATACATACATAGATACCATACCATACCATACCATACCATACCATACCATTACATTACATTACATTACATTACATTACATATATACCATACCATACCATACCATTACACTACATTACATTACATTATATTACATTACATATATACCATACCATACCATACCATACCATTACATTGCATGACATTACATTACATTACATTACATTATATTACATACATGCATATATACATGCATATATATATATTATATACACGCTATGTAATAGACATAGATAGCCCCCCTTTAAAAAGATGCCGAAACGTCACTGGCGCGGGGTTGCCTTAGGGTCCCAGGGTCCGCTCCCACGGCCAGGCCGCCTTTTTGGAGGCCGAAGTGGTTGAAAAAAACCCCAGTCAGAACTGGGAAAAAAAACCAGAATTCTTTGGAGAAAATGGTGGTTTCAATCCCCAAAGAACTGAGAAGTGCTAAGATTTTGGATTCATTTGATTTTCAGAAGGATTTGAGAGAATATGAATCCAAAATCAACAAAGGTCCTCAATAAGAATTTCCTTAGAAAAAAAGGACACAGTTTTGCAACTGGCCAAGTTAACCAACCAAAAATCAGCTGGAAAACTGCAGGGTTGGTGGGTAGATGGCCGTGGTGTTTCAGGCACCTTTACGGATGCATGTGACAGGAAGATGTGAATCTACTGTGTTTTGTGGGATGAAATGGAATGGGCATCATGGGGTTGAAATTGTGGCTGTTCCGAACACTCATTTTTTCTAATGATATAATACCCACCAAAGCCAGAGGTCATCAGCTGTTCCTTGTCCAAATCTATGATTCTTGTCATTTGTCTCAGATCTATCATCCTTTGTTGAACAAAAATCAACAAAAAATGCAAGAAAACATGATGATTCCTTTTGTTGAATATTAATGTCATCATCCTTTGTGAAATATTCGAGACGAAATCGTTCTACATTGGTCTGAACTTTGTTCAGAACAGACATGCCAATGCCAAAGCCACTGAAATAACAGCTGTTCCACTTTGTACGCAACGTAACATGTAAGAATTACCCCACCCCCACCTAAACGCACAAAGAAATCTCCGAACCGCCACGAGGTGATACAGAGTATCTTTCCCATCTTTTTGGGTGCAAAAAAACTGCGCCTCATGGAGGGTTTGCCCATAACCATTGGTTTCCATAGTCATGGGGGTACCCCAATAGCTGAATGGTTTAGAAGGGAAAATCCAAAAATAATATGGATGACAACTGGGGTTACCCATATTTTAGGCACGGGATAACTGGATAACCTCCAGGTACATTTTCACATGGCTAAAGCTACAATTTTTTGCATCGAAGATCTTATTTCGGTGATCATCACTGTAAATTTGTGTGTTTCTACGGAATGTCACCACAGCCTCTGTAGTCAAAGCTGGCAATGGATGAGTGTCCAGATTTATATCCAGTAATGAATAGATTCTAAATACCAATTTTTGTTGTTCAAATCCTTGCTACATCCTTGTTTTTATTGGTTCATTCCTCATCACATGGGCTTGCCCGAAAATATCATGGTAGAACCATCACTTTTCCCGTGAAACTTGCCACGCATTGGCGCCTCCTCATATCATAACTCAGATTTTCCCTCTTTGAATGGCTTTGTTCAGATCTATAATCTACCTCCATATCCGATCTCCCAACACTTTCCATTTTGTGGTTGAATCTCCAGTGCCAAAAAAGGCTAACGATTGCCTCCCAGATCCACGATTCTCATCATGTTTCCGAACAATGCTATGATCGGTGCACGAAGATGTTTTCGGAGCTGCCTTCCAGCCGCGCAAATCTTCGAAATTGATTAAGTCCATTTGCAAACTTATACCACCCCATTGATGGCTTGATATGGCGCATTTCTGAAATGGCTTGTGGTGTATCGGTCAGGGCGAAGATGGTGAGTTGCCATTGGAGGGCTTGGAGGGTGAGATGAAGGCCACAGATTTCCCATGGAGATATTTCACTCACCTTCACGGATTGTTTTTTTGGTGGACATTCTTAGGAAAAAGCAGCCATGGTGGCTTTGAGTTCTGTTTGAGGTTTTGTGATTCAGCTAATGATTTAATGGTTTTTCAGATGGAACGAAACACAAAATACGTGTTGAATCAAGAAAACGCGATTTCATCAAACATACCCTCTGGTAAATAAACATAGACCCTGAACATAGCCAATTTTTAATGAACACTAATCTTCCAACCCCTATCTGGCAGGGTCTATGTTAATTTACTGGAGGGTATCAAACCACAATGGGGATTTAACTTAACCAGCAAACCAATCTGTGGTTCCCTGAGGATTTTTTTATTTTTGGCTCATCATACCTGGCGTCGAATCACCGAACATGGGGAGAACTGTATGCAGCGAACATGGGGGGCACGGCCAATTGGAGGTTTCCTGAAATAGGGGTACAGCCAAAATGGATGGCGTATAATGGAAAATCCTATATATTGAAATGGATGATTGGGGGTACCCCCATTTTAGGAAACCCTCAATTAACTCAAGAAACTTTAGTGGGATAATCAATGCAAAACTGGTTCAGCAACCAGGCCCCCGAGTGCCATAACCTTGGTTGAGTGAAGTATCCAGGAGGATAGTCAGGCACTTTGGATCACCGATCACTATGGTCATAATTCGATACAAAACGCCAAGTATGTAGCCAACAGTGGATGGCCCCACAACATCAAGAGCATTCTGTTTTTTTTTGGAATTTCTGGGTACCCTCTGGTAATTTAACATAGCTATGGAAAATCACCATTTATAATGGGAAAACTCACTATAAATGGCCATTTTCAATAGCAAACTGTTAGTTTACCAGAGGATAATCCTGTGTTTTTTTTTTCAGCAAACATGGATGGCTTGCGAATTCCACAGATTGTAGCATGGCTGCTCTGCAAGGCCTGGATCTATGCTGAAGATCCTGAGTCAGAGGCGCCAGAAAAACCACATGGCCGTACAAAATGACACCCGGCCAGGCCCAATCCAGTGATATGTTCGATATTTCCCGCAAAATCATGAGGAAAACCAGAAAAAACCATCATTAGCCCGAAAAACTTTATGTATCAACCATTTCTTAATCATCATGTTTCCTCTACCCCAGGAACATAAGCTACGGCTT